TATACATATGCATTATCTAAGATTTTATTAAACATTTTTTTCTAAATTATTGTTTTCTTAGTCTCCGGCCCCAATTAAAAATTATTTGTATGTATTTATATGCGAAATTACACCCTGACTTACGCGGTTACAGCTCGGTCCCACCTATCGCGTAATTCGGGGTATTACTGTATTTTAATAGTTGAGGGAATAGTTAGCATTAATATATATTATTGAAACAATAAGATATATACAAGGGTACATACAGTCGAACAAATGATAGTGTTCCAATTAGAAGAAAAATGCACGAAACTGTTTTTTCCTCACACAATCAAGCATGTGCACAGAACAGCCACCATATTCAGAATTCGAAGTTGGCTCTGCAGCTGCTAGATGCAAGCATTTGTTCGGATTAAAAATTCTGAACCGTTTAGCCAAAAAACAGATGGGCCCCATTAGCCTACTCTCCCCTAGGTCTACTGGTTTATTTTATCCGGAAAACCTTTATTGAGGCAGAGCGTTAACGAAGCCCCTTCTGTGTGGCTTACAGAATTGATCGTTCTCATATGTTCGATTGATTTTGATTAAATTCTTTACCATTTTCCATTAATTGCGCTAAGGAATCCAAAAATGCAATGAGGGTCTTGATTTAACTTGTGAGTGCAGATGTATTTTATATCAAAAGTCGATTTCATATCTTGAAAAAGATCAATTAGCGATTTCAGTGAGATTATCATTTCTTTCTGGAAAATTTGGAGGGCATTTTTTCCACTTGCTCTCATTGTTGAGATTATTTTTATCATTTTATTTAAATGTTCTTCTTGTAATTCCAAGTCTACACCATATCTATTTTTGCTTGGAAAAGGTTTTGACCTTTTGGTGCATAGCTATTAAAAATGTCGAACCACATATTTATATCTCTAATAAAATTACCAATCTCTCTGCCATTTTCTTGTCTGTACCGGGAAGGTAGTGTAAAAGAGCTGTAGCCACGGTATTTGGTAAAATCTGAGCTGCCAATTTAACATTTTGGCGCTGGCTTTTTTGACAGTTTAAATGTTTTTCATTAATTTTCCAACACGAATTCACTTCAGTATCGGTGATAGAAATTAGGGCTTGCAATGGAGTTTTATTTATTACAGAACCGTCTTCAAACTTAAAAACCTACATCAATGAGCCAGTTTCGCAATAATTTCAGTAAATGAGGAGCATCTGCAAAAATATATACATGATTTTTTGTATTTGGATGAAGGAAAAACGTTCATTGACATTCACATTCAATTCTTTCCATAAACTTGTTACTGCAACTACAGTCGCAAAGCTACTACAAGCTACACTACATTATACGATGGTAAATAAAGTTCTGCTATTAATTTTAAAAGTATTTCTCTTGTCATTTTTTGATCAAACCCGATCAGGTTGCTTCCAATTTGAAAAAAGACCTATCATGACGACTTGCATTTGATTGTAAGGTCCTAGAACTTCATCTGCAGAGACGTCATACTCTTCAACTGCCTTACTTTTCACTTCATCAACTGAAAAACAGTGGTGCCTTCATCAAATGAAAGCTGTTTGGTGCTTCATTTGATGAAAGCACCAAATGAAAGCACCACTGTTTTTTCAAAAGGTGTAAAATTTTCTCCAGCCAATTTCAACATTAATAAGACATCTTTCAATATTCCTTCTCGTAAATTTACTTGAGATGCCCATTTTTTCAAAGACGATACACATGGCAAAGGATAATGCAGTTTATTTTTTAAACATAAGTAGCATTTTTTGCTGTAATACCTTAATGTTAAGGCTCTAGACCAGTGTTTCTCAACGTGGGCGATATCGCCCCCATGTGGGCGTTTTTCCATGTTGAGGGGGCGACTAGTAACAATTTATATTTTGGGGGGGCGAAAAACAATTTTCTGGCCGATATAGTAAAAAATTATATTAAGAATAATTAGATATTTTATTCGTTATATCGTACAGTAATTAAACAAATAACATTATACTAATCACTAGTCTAGTCAATGCAGTACGAATTTGGCGTTAGTCTTGGTCCTCGGCATCGGAATTTTGAAGTGAAGGGGGCGATAATCATGGGCGTAGCGAGGGGGGAGCCTGGGTGGGCACGGCCCCTCCCAGGGATCCTGGTGCCCTCCCCAGGAAATCACAGCCGAAAAAGTGTTGAGTCGATTTGTAAAAACCTAAAGCTAAAATAAAAGTTTTGAATACTAAAAAAAGGTGAACGGCTTGCTCGGTGCCCAATAATGAACAATAATTTGAAATAATTCAATTTTGTGTCAGGTTGGCCTCCACTAGGCCCCCCATAACAAAACTCTGGCTACGCCCATGGCGATAATAGGTAACGGTTTTATTAAAGGGGAGATACTACGTTGAAGGGGGCGATGATTCGTTAGAGGTTGAGAAACACTGCTCTAGACATATCTTCTGTGTTCCAGTTAGCTCGTTTTTTCTTTTTTGATAGTAATGAAATTTGATTGTTTGTAAAGACCTGTGTCAACAAATCTGCAACCATTTGGTTTGATTTTTGTACATTTGGACGATAGATATTTCTTCTTTTGTAATATCGTAATAAATCGTTTAATACTTTTATTCTTTTCATATGATCTTTCAATTTTCCATATTCTGATTTTAAAACATTATATTCTTCTAACAGCTTCTTATATTTAATTTCGTAATGACATTCATCTTGAAGATTGTTACTATTGTTATCATTATTTGTTAAAAGATCATTAACTTCTTCTTTCTCGTTCCGTAACTGTTGGGTTCATTCTATCCGGAAGATTTAATNGCCATATAATATCTTAAAATATTTAAGATATCATTTTTTCCTTAATATTAACTCTAAGGAACTGTACCATTCGCAGCCGAATATTAAAACAGTAGAGCGTTGTTTATCCGAAGGTCGGTTATCCGAAGGAATTCCAGTCGACAAATTTAAATTTTCGCCAGTGCTGTGGCGCTGTAATCTTTGGCTATGTCTTCGGCTACTCAAATATTTTACGTTTTTGATACTAAATTAACTTCTGAAGTATAATTTTTTATTGTTTTTATATTTTTCAATATATTTATTTTGTTTGTACAAAATAAAAAAATAATTTTTAACGATACAATAGTCATCGTTAGGCTTAACATCGACGAAAATTCAACGCGAAGCGACACGCAACGGAGAAAAATGTCAAGATGGGATAAATTAATATTTTTTTCGTACATTATCGGTTATCCGAAACATCGATCTTCCGAACAACCCGTCCCCAATTGATTCGGATAATCGACGCTCTACTGTAATTCATTTTGTAAATCTCTTTCATAATCACTTTGAACAAAATGAATAGAACATATTCTACTTGTATCTGGATTAAATTTATCGCTTCTTTTGCAACGATTAAACCATTCAGACCTAATTATTTTAGAAATTAAGTCTTTTTGTCTAGGAAACACATGAAAGGTTACACTTTCTCCTTTAGCTTTTTCTCTTTATACTGTATTTTATCAAATCATTACCTGTCAAATCGGCTGCAAAGCCTGGTAAAATTCCTTTCTTTCACGTTGACATAATAGTGATCAAACAAGGTAACGTGAAATCAGCAATCAATATGGCGTGCGCTTCTTTGCGCAGTCTCTGTATATGTGAGCGGAGTCATGTGACGTCACGTGCACCCCTCTATTGTTTATTTCGTGTATGAGTTGGAACGTTTCTCTTGTGAGTGAAGTTTTTGAAGATCAAATTAATCTTAAAATATCTTAGCATCCTCAATCACAAATTTGAACCTAAACTAGCTTTTACCTCCAGGAAACAGCAAATAACAGCTGTAATTCTTCCATCAAAAGCATAATGATGAAGCCAAAGAAGAAACTCATTCAGGCTTGTTTGGATACCTGTTGTGAAAACTAAAATGCATGTATTGAATATTAACAAACTAAAAATTGTCAGTTATAAACTACATAAGACCCCGCTTAACGCTGATTCGATATAACGCGGTCTGCTCGAAGCCTAAGAAAAAGCTCAAAATTTACGCTGATTTAAATTATTGCAGCGTTTCATTGATTCGTATGTAATACGATTATTTTCGAATACAAACCAATCAGCAAAAGGTGGCAAAAAGATGTACTTTTAAAAAATATGTTTGTTTGGTGCAATTTTGGAAAAAATATAACATCGTGGATGCCATAAGAAATATCGACTTCGCTCGGCAAAAATTAACTGATAAATGTACGAAGGTATCCAAGAATTCTCCACGAGAAGACCCTATCGCTGTATCGTTACGTTGACCAAACTCCACCTAATCGATATAACAGGACTAGGAGATATAGACGAGCAGGATATTGAGGAGTTACAGCAGGTTTCTGGTGAGAGTGTTACCAACGACGACCTTCGAGAACTGGCAGAACATGGAATTCATGTGGAACTGGAAAATAGAGATTCTGAAAACGAAGAACCCAAAAAAATTTCTCTACAGATTTTCCTAGTAAAATAACCACAATCGTTGATCAAACTGTAGCGAGTGATCCAGATTTTGAAAGGAGTGCAAAAGCAAAACGAGACATTTTGGATGCGATCTTCTGCTAAACATTTGCTTAAGGAAAGAAAAAGGCGACAAATGAAACTTCACGACTTTATTGCAAAAGAACAAGAATTTCAGAAAAGTCAGGACAATTGTCACAAAAAATGAACTTTACCTTTCTGTATACCTGTTTGTGTGTTATTTAATACATATTATTATACAAATTAATATAAAAATAAGTTAAAATTAAAGTAAAATTTGTTTATTTTTGTTCCCCTATCCCTATTTACTCTGTTAAAATGACCTCGTTTAAAGCTGTTTCGCTTAGCGTTTTGTTGTCTAGGAACGAATTCCCGCGTTAAGCGGGGTCTTACTGTATTTGTGATAATGACATAAATTACTTTTCTATGGATTAAATGTATACTCTCTCTAGATACTCAAAAAGAAACTTGGTAAAAACATTATTCATTCTACAATTATACAAAAGTCAGAACACAAATCAAATCAACTTTTTAACATTTAATTTTCAATGTTTACAACATTGGCTCATCCGCTATTTCATCAAGACATTTAGAATGTTGATATTCCCGCCGTATTTCTGGAGTTATTTGATAATGAGACTGAATTTTCAACAGTTCTAATAAAGCTTCTTTTTGTTCACTGGATATTTCTGTTTTATATCTCTGAGCAAAAGTAAGAAGACATTGATGCCACAATACAGGAAGTTCTCGTTTTTCATGAGTAAACCTAAACAAAATAATTTAAAGTCAAAGTATATTATAATAACTTAAAATATGCATTTTTTATTATTTTTTATGCATTTTGAAAAAGTTCCTATTTGTGGTGAGTAATTTATCTTAAATAAACAGTGTCCTAATAAATTATGGAAATTGGCTAAATACTCAGTTAAAAATAGAAATATATATAAACAATGCCAAAAAGGAGCTTTTTCAAATTTCCCACCAAAGTACTAACACTAGAGTTGTCAACTTTTTAAAGTAATTTTTTATTTTTTTTGCACTTATGTAACCTGATTAAGGTAAGTAATGATGCCTAAATAAGCCCTATTGTAATAAATGTAAACAAAGTCTTATCCACTTTAAAATTTTATATTATGCACCTATTTTACAGTAAATTAACAGTTAGAAAACAATAGTTTTTCAATGTGGATTTTGTTTGAATAACGTTGTTTGTTCAAAACTAAACACAATAATTTACAATAACTGCTCAAAATGTCCTTTATGTACATGGGCACATAACTTAATGGCATACAACACATCAGCTACTTGCACAGATTAGCTAACACATATTCAGTAAAACAATTTTCAACATTTAAAATAAAAAGCTTCAGTTTGTACCATAGATACTGGTGCACAGGAATGAAAAACAAACAGTGGTATCTTTTTGATGAGAGTATAAAATTGGTTTCCAATAAGATTTTATACTGGCCTATATCTCAAAAATTTTGAAAAATCTTTTTAGAGGATGCTAGAAGGTATCCTTACAATATTGGCACAGTATATCAGTTTTTCTTCTAAATTAATTGATTTGAAAGTGAAAATCAGCTGAATACCTGAGTAGCATATCTATATGGTAAAGCAGGAATTGCAAGTTCAAATCCTACTTCAGATCATAATCTAAAATATTCTAAATTAATGTATTTATTTCTAATTATTAAATTTAATATAAGAGACAGCTTAACCTTCTACTTTTACTCAAATTATGTAATGTCTTTATAATTAATTCCACATTATAGCCTGATTAAAATCCACTGGTGTCTGTCTAAAAATTGAATAACTTGAAGATCTATTATTAATAATTATTACATCTTCCAGTTATACAATTTCTGAATTGTGTTAACATGTTCTTTTAATATAAACTAGCAGGTAAGCCCAGCATTGCCTGTGCAAAAAATAAGAACAAACATTAAGATTATTAGATTGTTCTAACCCTTCTATTATATTAAAGTACTTGGTTTATACAACTATAAACATTATCTTACGTAAGAGTTTATCACACCAAGTGACCAATCTAACACATTTTTAATATTTTATATTCCTCTGCCGTACACAATTTAAAGAATTTTTAAAATGTGTTAGATTGGGCACTTGGTGTGAATAATCATAAGATTACCTTTGTTGTTATATAAATCAAATACTATAATATAAGAAACATTAAAACAAAAAACATATAAAGAATTTGGTTATTTTAGCCTACCATTGTCATGTTTATCACAATACTTGGATGGCATGAAATGGCACAATTTCACTGGTCAAGTAGACAGCACTTTTTCTAATGTTAGCCCTAACAAACTGTTCATTTTTACAACTGAATATCAATTGGAAATCTGCCAACAAATCAAATTTTGCAAAAATGGACCAAATATTTAAACTCAGCACCTTTGAAAACCACTTAAAATATATTTTGTGCTCATCGGTAATCTTGCATTATGTAATTTTCCTATTCAAATACTACCATTCACTGGGTCTGATAGGAAGAAGGAAATGTTGTTGAACGAGGTTAAATGATAAAATTCTGTAAAAATGGGAGAATAATTGCTTTTATGTGATCCCATAAAAAATATTTTAAAAAACTGGTGAAACCAGATTGAAAAAGAAATGCTCAGCAAAAAACATCTAAGTAAAGGAAACTTTTGAAACTTCCGGCATAAGAATAGTGTATGCAGATTTGACAGTAAGACTCAACATGTATAAAGTGCACATTACACAGACTACAACTACAAGAAAGTTTGAATAAAGCAATGTTGCCATGATAATAAATAGGAAAAATAAACATCAGCACAGAAAAAGACTTTGAGCTCTAATTTGTGCTGTAAAATCGTTGCACATACAGTACATTAATTTGGCTAAACATTAGAACATCTTTCAACAGTATTAATAGGAAGTTTTGGGCAATGGGTTTATGAGTTAGTAAAGGGGAGATGAAATCAGGGGAGGAGGCAAGGTGTATAGGTTTTGTGGTAATTTAGTGGATATCTTTTTAAATATCGTGCTTATAGAAAAATTATTAGAATTGGTTTATTTGGTTACAGCAACGTGACATGTGAGTGATCTTGCCAAGAAGGATGCTTTTGAGAAGACTTTTATGTAAAGTTGGTTTCTATTTAGTTGTTACTAATGCAAAGAATACCTAGAAAACTCCATATGGCCAGTCTGTTGGTGATGAGCAAACTCACGACTGACTACCAGTGTTTAATAGTGTATCAGTTATTGGAGGGTACTTATTCGGCTGCAATTTGAAAAAATTGTAGACCTATAAATTCCTGCTGTCATTCCTCTGTCTATCTGTCTTTTCTTAATCTCAAGAACAAAGTTAGATAGATGAATATTGAGACCAGAGATAGAAAGCTTAAGAGCAGGAGGCCCAAATTAACTATATACAAACGTCCGGTTTTCACTGGAAATCACATTATTTCAATTCAAAAAATTTTTCCTGAATGGAGTTAGATACATAACCAGCATAACTCTATTGCTAACAGGAAAAGTGTGATGTACAGTACAGGGACAAAACACCACTCCATGAAGGCAAGTGCTATGTGCTACCTGTCGCAGTAATGGTGTAATGGCACATCTCTTTCACGTTATATCACTGTTGCAGTATTTAAGTGAATATAATATATATTTTTAAAAATTACATTCTTTTTTTTTTTTTTTTTGTAAGAATATAGTTTTATTATTTTCTTAAATTTTTGCCAATAGATGGCACTACATGTAAAGCCAGCAAATGAATATATATACAGTACAGGTATACCTCGCCTTACATCAGTAATTGGTTCCAGGATAAATGACGTAAGTCGAATTTACTTGTCTCCGAATCTACTTGTCATTAGGCTAAACCACAAATTACCATTCCCGGTTCTGTATTTTATTTATTAATGCATTTTTAATAATATATGGTTAATAAGGATCTATTTTAAACTTACAAACAAATAAATTTTAGTTTTTAATATAGTACAGGAAAAAAGTAATCTAAATTTACAAATGCATGTACTGTAAATACAGTACATACTTGTAAATGTATATATTTTAATATGATTTTATGTGCTTTAAACACTTTTCTAGTGATATTACGACTTCAATATTTGTGGCAGACAGACGTAAAGTCGAATAAAATGACTTAAACTTGATTTTTATTTTTCCATATACTTTTCTGACAAACAACATATAATTGGGAACGACGTAACTCGAAACGACATAAGTATACCTGTATATGTATGTATGTTTGTTCACTATGCATGCCTAGACTGTTTGACCAATTTCTACAAAACTTTACAGTTACATTCACAGACTTCTAACTTAGTTAGATAATGTTGTACATCCCACCCCAAAATATTGATTGGATTTCTATATATCAATTAATTTCTGTCTACATTCATTTGCTGGCTTTACATGTAGTGTCATCTACTGGCAAAAAATTTAAGAAAATAATAAAACTATAAAACCAGAATTTTCACTAACTGTAGCCTATTTAATTTAATGTTATCAATAGGTAATTGTTGTATGTAAATACCAACATCATCATACATTAAGTAAATTCTACCCTAATATAGAAAAATCTGTGAAAACTGGAATCGTATGGTACAGAATATTTTTTCCGGTTTGGCAGGTTTGTTTTAAACAAAAAAAAATATTCCTTTCAGAAGAATTTTTTTCAGTTTAGACAGATTTCCATTTCATTCAGGTACTGTTTTGGACAGTTGCTGTACAACAAATGTGGAAAAAGGCTTATGTTGGAATGCTAATTGGAGTCTAAGCACTGAACTGTGCACACCTTAAATCATTTTTAATAGCTGGCTGAAATAATTAATTTTTTTAATATTTTATTTAATGTGATAATTTTAATTTGTTATATTACTTATTAAAAATTAGATGTAAAATACATTATATTCTACTTGAATTTACATATGCTCAACAAAGTTCAAGTTGGGAAGAGTGAAATTACTTTAAACATGTAATCTCAGTTTATTTAATGTTTATGCATATTTTTATTTATTTATTCTTCAATACTTCATATTCAGTTCATATTCAATAGTAATTAAACTACAAAATTATGGCAAAACTTTTATCTAAAGCATTTTCTTAAGTTAAAAATTTTGTTTGAAATAACACTTTAAATTTTTAATAAAGGAAATATGAATTACATTAAATATTCATCAGCATCAAATTATTATTAAAACTGTTCAAAGAACAATAATTAAAAAATAATAATAATAATAATAATCTGCCAATCCCGAATTTAGTAATGACAAGAATTCATAGAGCATTTTCTTTGTAAATTATAAAATTTTAATAAATTATAAATGTTTAAAAGATGGCCAGATGACCAATATGTTGGTGGCCTACCACTCTGAGGGACCCAGGATTAGGGTTTCTTTCCCGGGATCCCGTTTTCCTGGAGTTCCCGCTGTTTATTCCCTACGAGAAAAATCCCAGGAAATTTTATTTTCCCAGGAAATCTTGCATTTCAATAATAATTTATCATGTCAGGTTTTCTTTCTATTATTTATTATACAAAAAGTTGCATCTTGAAGACTCACCCAAGAGAGAAATTTTGAGGTTTCATGCTGCATATTATTACTTTTGTTTTACAAGTCTCTACTTGTTAGTTCATGTAATATCTATGTATTGTGTTTGCGCATCATTGAACAGCAGAGCACTCGCTGAAAGTAAATATCACTCATCACACTTTAGTTTATTTTTTATTTCATCTTTAGAAATAAAATAGTATTTTTTTCGTAATCATTAAAACTCCCAATGAAATGCTTTATTTTACTTTCATCTTATAATGTAGGAGAACATAAATTAATTGAGCCTAACGTGTCCGTATGGGTGAGATTGGCCCTATACTTTTAGTTACTTACTAGAAAATAAATTAAATTATTCAAATTTATGATATTCCTGTATGATCTTTTTTATTCATATAAAATTCTATTTTACTATCTCATCCTGGAATTTCCCGGGATCCCGGAAAAAGTAATTATTTTTCCCGTAATCCCGCTGGAGGAAAATTTCCCGGGAAATGAGAAACCCTACCCAGGATCAAACAACCCCTAGAATTTTTCAGGAGTGGACTGTCTGGATATATTGGACTATAATTGGGCTATCCCATTGTGGGCCTCGCCAAACCCATAATGAACTTGTTACAAAAATGCCCACAAAGCAGAAAGAGTTTAAAAAAAAATCTTACCTGAGAAAATGATTAACGACTGCATCAATCACTTTATATGGTAGTGCATATTTTTTATCCAATAAAATTCTCATAAATATAGTGTTAGCACCATTATAATCCATTTCTGCTATTTTGATCAGAGCAGCAGCTGAATGTAATAAGGGAACAGAATTTTTACTTAATACACTTCCAATTATAACTGCTTCCCGAAGTGTGCAAGTACCTGACTAATAATAAAAAAGTTTTAGTATAAATCATTTCATAAAAGCAATTGCATAAAAAAAAATATATATATATATATATTATATTAAATANTCTGGAGACAATTTCACATTTGCTGTAGAAGAAACTGCTGTATAACTTTAATGTCATTTACAAATTTCTCACTGCACAGTAACTTTTCGGACCCCTGTCCTTTAAAAAAAGCACCCGGCTTAAACAGAGCCTTCCTCAATGCCTGAAAAATAAATATTAAATGCCTATTTAATATTTGATATATTTATAGGGTCCTCCAAAAAGAATGTTACCATTTAAATTATTGTAATTATATTAATTATTATTCAAGAGTGTTGTAGTGTACATTTTAAAAATGTTGTAAAGTGGTCCATTACAATTTCTCAATGTTTGCACCTTGTGTCACACAGCACACATCCAACCAATACTTAATTCTTCTTACATTTGCTACAGCATATTCATTGTCACTTCTCCCATAGCAGCCACCATTCTACAGCTCCTGCAGATTACTTGTGTTGCACAATGACAAATGATGTTGACCTTGCAAACTGCAGAACCTAAAATGTCTTCTCTGTTGCAGTGTCACTATTTTTATTTTCAGCACTTCCTAAAGGTAACAAGCAAGATGTTTGAATGCAAATGGGAGATGAAACTCAGACAGTTATTCTATAGACTGATGTGTTACATACTTCTCAGATAAAAACTAATATAATTACAGTAATTTAAAATGGCAGCATTCATTTTGGAAGACACTATATTTAGAGTATATGAATCATATTAAAAATATATAATTTTTAAATTTAAACAGTTATAAGGATAATTCTTATTAATTCTTGTATTTTATTTTATTTGAAGTTTATTGAGAGTTAATATCAAAAATTTTTCTTACTTGATATAAATGAAAATTAAGTTTTTTAAATTCAGCAATATCATCACGGACTCGAGGCAATAAAATTAAACTATAAAATCTGTAACAAAATGAAATGATATCTTTTATCATTAAATTAGCACTTCTTTAAACTATGCATATAAATAAAAACAATTCAAATGATAATTGTTAAAAATTCAATGTCTTGAGAATTCAAGCCAAGAGAGATGCTAATTAGAAAAAAATTAGTGTCAATGTCACTTGTTATTTATGGAGACATACAGGCTGCCTGAAAAGTTAATGTGCTATAAGAAATTTAATTATGTATTAATGTATTAATATTAAAGTTTGTATTGTATTGTATATGAGACCCGTAAGTTGTATGTTCCATGTTTCTATTTTGCAGTAGATAGCATTACTGCTTGCTCACAGATATTCTGGAATGTCCACTCTCTGTCTCTCTGTTTATAGAGTGAGAAGAGCTGTCTGTATTTCGTAACAGACTTTGCCCTATAGGAAATTGAAAGAAGAAGAAAGCATGTGAATGTAGTGTGAAAAGAAAGGGAGATAGGAAAGTGGGAAGGCTATATACACCAACTATGAGAGGAGAGAGGAAAGTGTGAATAGAAGGCGTGGGAGGCACCATGGACGCCTGTATCGCATTTGATAAATATTACAATGGTTACATATTACAATCAGTGCATGAAACTAACATACAACATAAAGTTGGTTAATATATTTACAAAGCATGTATACCACAACGTAAACAGTGCTGTACATTACACAATAAGTAATTTGATGAGATCAGAAGTGATTACAGAACTGAGTAAATATGGTTGGTAAGTCGTGGAAACAGGGTGATTACAATGGTATCTTTGAAGCAACTGTTACATTAAATTGGCAAGGTTATTGGAACAATATAACTAACCTTAGGTATGATTGGGAACAAGTGGGAACATTAGGATGATCGCAGATGGTTTTACAGTTGATGGCTACAGTGAGGATGGTATCTGCGTTTACAATAGGAATTTCTGGTTAAGTTCACAATTTGGTTACAATTTCAATACAATGAATAATTGAACGAATTAGTTACTACATCATAACACTTGTATAGTACAATTTAATGATTACATAAGTTACTTTTACTAAACAGAATCCAAAGAAGTATTTACAATAACATTGGGAGCCATGTGCTAGCCCAATTGTTGAAAGGAATGTGCCCTGCAGGGCACTCCAGTAGATGATCTAAGGTACAGTCTCTGTTCTGTTTGTGTTGCTTAAGGCCCTTGTTTTATGAATAAAGTTCTTGAGGCCATTCCACACATCTTGGTTGTTAAAAATGTTCTTGGGGTTTGGTGGCCAGTTGAGTCCATTCTTGAGGCATTTCCCGATAAGTGGGAGCCTTTCCTCCTCGTATTTTGGACAGTCGTACAAAAAGTGGTTTGTGTCTCCCTTGCTGGTATCGTCACAGTCACAAGTGTTTGTGTGTTGCTTGCTAAAGCGGTGGAGGCTGGAATGTCTACTCACAAATACAGTTGACTGAGCATGAGTGCAGGTCCATATTGGCTGAATGATAATGATGACGACGACTAAGCAGCAAATGTTCCTGGTGAACCACATCTCAGTCCTCTGGAGACAATTTCACATTTGCTGTAGAAGAAACTGCTGTATAACTTTAATGTCATTTACAAATTTCTCACTGCACAGTAACTTTTCGGACCCCTGTATTTAGGTACATCCAATTAATATCAACCTCTAGTATTGGACATCATACAGATATAATGTGATATGCATATTAAACTATAAAATACAATTTTGTACAATTCTGTATACTTATTATATTAATACACTTATAATAAATATAGTAAATAGTACTTTTAGGCACTTATTATAAGTTTACAGGTATTTGAAACATATTTCTGATGTCTTTTCACACATTTTACATTTTCAATACATTTAGATTTGTTATTACAGTCACACTTGTAAGACAATAAGAGTCCTTTTATAAGCAGATGTGTGAACAGAACATACAATATAGTGAATATTTAACAAAACAAAATTTAACACATATTCTTTGCTCAATTACACTCAGCATTTTGAAAAATCACCAGTGTAAAAATTCTTTACACACAAAACAAGCATTTATTTGCAATACTGCACTCTTAGAACATATAACCGATGTGATAAAAAACAGCTTTATCTTTTGTTTTTTATCACACCGGTTATAGGTTCTAAGAGTGCAGTATTTAACACATCCCGGTGTTTTGCAGTGTAGTGTAATTTATTTGCAAATGAAAACATACAATGACATATGGATTGCTGTTAGATGTTGATGAAAGTTGTACCAACTGATGAAAAAAAATGATGAACACATCCTTTTGCATGTGTGCAATTTAAATAAACCATTTCCAATACTTTTTGATCACAGTAGTATTTACTTATTATAAAATATGTTTTGTTTTGTTTGTTTGTTTGTTACAGTGCTTTATTTAGGCAGTTGTGCAACTATTCTTTTATCTTTAATTAAAGAGTAGCTGGGCATTGGTTAATCATTAAATTAGATCAGTTAGTTATCACTAAAAGATAATCAAGCAAATTTAATATTAAATGCATAAGGTATTCCCCTTGAATACCCTAGTTTTAAATTGTTCTATAAAATCCATTTGTTCAGATATGTGAATAGAATGTGTTAGTGAATGTTAGTCAATACTAAAATTTCACATGCTACTGCACAGTGGAGATCATCAGGACCCCATTTCTTGGTCCACCCAATCATCCAACATCATCTCTTTAAACTATTTTCTTTGTGGGAATATCAAGGGTCATGTGTATGCTGCAAAAGTGCCAGACATGAGCACCTCACATACAAGAATCGCAGATGCCATTAACAGCAAGGCTCCTAGCATGTTGGCTAAGATGCACACCAATTTATTAATACTTGCCACATCAGGAGCATATGTGAAAATGTACTGTTTTAATGTAGTAACTAACTTTTTCAGATGCAGTTTCTATTACCATTGTTTACAGTACTATACTCATGTTTCTTTTCCAAAAATTAATCCACATATTTATAACCAAAACATGTCTAATTTATCATAGAATGGATTCAATATTAGATAAACACATTCTATGGTTTTAGTTATTTGTCGAAACCGTGTCTTCTTTTTCTTGTTTCTTCTGATTCTATGTCACGACTTGGTGCATTTATAGACACTTGGCAAATAATTCCATCACCTACATTTACTTCTTACAGAAACGCGTTTCGGGCTTTCGCCCCTCTTCAGTCTATTACGTCGATAGTTGTGACTTGTGTGTCCGTACTTCCCGCTCCCTTCCCCTCCCCTCTTTTCCCGACTTGACGGACTCCCCCGCATGCCTCGTAATTTGTAACATTACCCTTCTCCGAGTGTTGCACACAGCCTCGCCTGCGACTGTATAAACATTCTATTTTATTTTAATAATTGAAGCCAGTTTTTATGGATGTCGATGCTAAGGTTCTTGTTAATATTATTTTTGTCTATAGTAATTTCGTAGCTTTCTTTGAATTTCCTTTTGTACCAATTTTTTTCTTTGTGTACTATTGTTGCATCCTTTTTATCTATTTTGCAGTTGTGGGTCGTGCAGTGTTCGTAAAAAACTGAGTTGATTCTGTTATATTTCAGGTCTGCGATGTGTTCTTTTAGTCTTGTTTCTAATTTTCTTTTTGTTTCACCGATGTATACTTTTGGGGGTTCGCATGTGCAAGGTATTTTATAGACGACTTCGGTAGTGCTGTATTTGTCTGGTTGTTTATTTCTGTCAGGTACAGTCTTCCGGATTCTTTTTTGCAGGTTGTTATAGGTTGGGGCTAGCTTTATATCTATTTTTTCAAAGCTTTTGTTTACTTGTTCAAAGAAGCCACGGATGTAAGGGAAGGGTATGTATCTTACGGTGTTTCTTTCGTTTTGTTTATTTACCAGCCTTTTGTTGTTCATTTTCCTTTCCCAGTTGTTTAGCATTCGTTTTGGATAGCCGTTTAGTAGGAATTTTGTTCGTAGTTCGTTGAGGTGTTTTTCCTTCGTCGGTAGTGAGCTTGTTCTGTTCTCGATCTTTTTATATTCCATGATGAATATGTTTTCTTTTATGTACTGCGGGATGTTTGAGTTGTAGTTTAGCACTTTCCTGATCTCGCATGGTTTTGTGTATGGCTCGAATTCGATCCTGTTTTCTTTCCTGATTATTTTTATGTCGAGGTAATTTATTTCTGTGTTTGCCTCATTTTCTACCTTGAATTTGATGTTATCGTTTAATTTGTTTATTTTTTCTTCTATTTCTTCTAATTTTGTTAATTCTTGGTCGTATAGTATAATTATGTCATCCACGTATCGTTTATAGAACTTTATGCCTGTTCTATGGTGTTAACATATGCCTAACATTCTATGGTGTTAACATATGCCTAACATTCTATGGTGTTAACATATGCAGTAGGTTTGCTTCAGTCTTAACTTTGCTCATTATAGGAAAACTTGATCTGGAATGGACAAGGGATGACAAATGATGTTGCAATCTGAACTTCCTATGATCATCCAGATAAGGTTCATATTTGAATCTTAGTCACTTTATATATGATTTTATTCAGTAAATACTGTACATTAAAATTTTCCAATAATTAATATTTAAAATTTATGTATTTTAAATAATAGGAGCCATTCTGTAGTTGCAAAGTCAAAAATTCAAATAAAAAATTATGATCTTGTAAATACTTCAATTCAATTAGCAAACATATTCAATAGAAAATTATACTTAGAATTATTTCAGACAAATTCACTCTCAAAAATATAATGGCTAAAACCTATTAACAATAGTATCTTATTAAATACTTTAGAATAAGGGATATTTACTGTTGGCAGAATTATCACTTGAACCATAAATTTTGATATGATAAATTTCAACATAGTATGAAATCAGTTGTAGAGCTCTTAAATATTTCTTGTAAGACATTTAAAATCATTTTTACTGATTACAATTTACATCAAATTAATAATTTTATGGAATTTTTTGCTAATTATAATATGAGCTCCTGTACAACTGTTATTTTCCTTGTAGTTCAAAAACAATTTCAAAGATATTTCCAAATCTAAAAATTTTTTTCTGAAACAGTAAAGACCATAATGAATGAAATGCAGTAAATAGGATCAAGTATAGAATGTCAACAAAGAGTTATTTTAAATTGATATCTTCATTGCAGATATTTTTAAAAAATGTACGAAAGTAAATATATATTAACATCCAGATGGCTGAGTGGTAAGCTTAGCAGCTTACCACTCTGGAGGACCCAGGATCAAATCCAAATCTAAAATCAAAAACACTAGGAATTTTTTAGGGGTTGGTCCATCTGGATATGCTGGATCCCATCCCTCGCCACTCGGCCACCTCATTGTGGGCCTGGCTGAACTCATAATGGGCTTGCTTAAAAAAGGCACTCTTAATTAATGCCCACAGGATGGAGAGTTTAAAAAAGTAAATATATATTTTTTTTAGCAGAATTATGATTTTATACATGTTTGTGGAATACAACAAAATATATTTTATATCCTATGATTAAAAAACTTATGAGGTTTCAAGAAATATATATATATATATATAAATAACTTAATTTATAATTTTTAAATCTTTAACAGTATAAATAAGATTAATTTAAGAAAGAAAAAAATATATTCACCTCTGAGCCATTTTTTCTTTTAAATTAGAAGCAAATATTCGTGTAGCTTGATACATAGCTGCAGCAGTCCAATTATCCGGATCCGTTAAATAAAGTATCTGTTCCCAATTACTCAGAGATGGTATAATTTTAAATGCTTTAGGAAGTTTGCCACTTCGATAATGTGCTAAAACTTGCTTTACTCCTTTATACATCTCAACTATTTTTTCATCTAAATCAACAACATTAACACTCCCAGCATCTATATGTTGATATTAAATAATTAAATGTTTAATAAATCATTGCAAATAAGTTATAATAAAGTGTAATATAACAACATTGGTAACTACACATCTATACTAATATCATAAAGAGGTAATGCTTGTAAGTTTGTATGTAGCGGGTAATCTCCGAAACTATTCATCCGATTTCAAAAATTCTTTCACCAATATTTACAATGGAACTTCAGGGTGGACATAGGCTGTATATTATTCCGTTAAACATTCATATAAATTAAAAGATATCATCTAGGGTTAAGGCTTTTATGTCTAAACCTAAGTTTGCTTTTCTGTGAGGATGAACTAAAGCAGATCATCTTCTATCTATCTATATAAATAAAAATGTAATGTTCGTTTGTTCCTATAAATTCCTTTGAAATTTTCACACAACGCTGCATTCAAATAGGCACATATTTTTATATAATATACATGTCGAAATTCCCCCCACTGGGGGAGATGGACAGGATTAAGGCTTACTGTAAAGAACTCTGCTTCTATTTATACTATTTTAGGTGCAGTTTTTTGCATTTTTGATTGTGTTTTAATAGGGTATGTCAACAGAATGTACACTAAGAAGGGATTTTTCGAAAAATTCCCCTCTCCACTGGGGAAGTGTTATACATTTATAATAGATACATTTTGAGCCACGACAACACATGGCGGGGTCTGCTAGTATACAATATTTGCATAGTTTTAACATTTGCAAGTAATTAAATTTACTCTTATTGATAGTGTAATCTTTTATTTAATTCCAGATTATATTTAAACTTCCAAAATCATATTCTTAAATAAAACTTTCAGATAATATTTTATTGAGATCATTAAGTGAAGCTATTCCATGTCCAAGAATGGCACAACATCTTTGAAATAATTTTCTTATACAGTAGAATACTGATTATATGAGGTCATGTGGTCCAGTGCAGTCTCAGATAATAAAATGGCCATGGCTGTCAGATAAAAACAGCCTTGGCCATTTTGAATTAAAAATTCTGAATATATCATGGATATAGAACCATATACTGTTAATTATAAAACTGTAATTTTCAGAAAACAGAATTTGAAAATTAGATCAACCTTTAATTATAAGAATGCTTTCTTTAACATTTAATTAACAACTAGTTTTGTTATATCTGATTAATTTTATTTTTTAGTCACAGTTTAACCCAGGGGTTTTGGCATGCTGGTCTCCCATGGTTATATGCAGCATGCTGGTCATTCTGTGAAAATATATTAGCACACACATTTACAGCTTTGTTCTGTGGCGAGTATGTGCAAAAATCCCTCACTCCCCAGAAATTACAGTGTGTGCAAGCAGACATCCAATGCTGCATTACAAGATTTCTTTAGGAGAGAAGTGTACTAGTTATGTGTAAGTATTTAATAAAGCTGTTTTCAGTTATTCTTTGCTAGAGATTTTTTAATCATGTTTGTGCAAACTGAGACAGGACTGACTGTCCTTAATTCCAAACAATCGGTGGATTACATTGGGTTATTATAATGCTATTATTAATAATTTAATTAATAAAAATAATATTTAAAATAATTATTCAATTAAGTTAAATTAAGTAATTCAGCCTAGAGGTAGGCATTAGGTGCCATCTCTTGATAAATTTAATAATTATTATTAAATTGATATTTTAATTATCAATTTAGAAGGTTCCGGGAGAAAAGAATTGGCCCAAAGCAGGACTCAAAAGTGCAACTCTTGATTGGCATGTGGAGGCATTACCAGTTATAATACTTGGGCATCTGTCCAATCTTTACTTCCAAAACTATTAAATTTAGATATAACCATACTGGTTACTCATGGTGCCAACTGGGATGATTTCAGCATCCACAGCCTGTAACACCCTCCATGGTATTCAGTAGGCTATTGCTTTACACTGACATGGTGTATATAGGTTACAGCCAAAGCCTGAAGTTTGGCAATATTCCAAATTGGCTGGCCATTTTGCAAAGTGGCAGAAAATCCCCAGCCAAAATTTGAAGTGCTGTTGCAAGACTGTTCGGTACACATGAAAAAATAGAGAATGCTATAAATGTGAGGACTGTCTCCGGAAATGTAGCTGTTGCCATCATGGTGAAACCAACAGAAAGTTCAGACCAGTTGCCTGACAATAACAGCGTGAAAAGATTCTGAATAGTGTGTGAAAAAGAGTGTAGTTCAGCCCATTCTTGTGTATCCTGCAACAAAGATGTCCATGCAATTTGTGGAATAAGTAATGAAGCAGACAAAGGGTCTAGAGGGATAATTACTTGAAAAACATCGCTCATTTCATTTTAAAAAATTTCCATCTACATCAATAAGAAGTGCATGCGCTTTACACAAAACATTGCTCGGTTCATTTAAATCTCCTGGAAGGTTTCCACATGTGATGATTTGAACGGCAATCTTCTCAAAAGGAAATATTTGATTCACAACGTCTTACTTCTTTTTTACACAAAAAAGCCTGAAGAAGAGCCCAGAAGGGGCCTTGAAACCGTTAGCTATCCTATTACACAACCACTCCAGTTATCAGGTTTAACGTAAGTGTTATTTATATCCATAAGCTGTTCGAATGTTCCAAACTTGGAAACAGTTGTATTCAATTTTTCACCTGATGATGATAGCTTTATGCTATTCAAAAGTGCTTTATGCTATTCGAAAGTGTATTTGTGAACTCTTTTATTTGCTAAAGGTCACCGTTCATAACACCACAATATGCTAGTGAAATTACGTTATAAAGTTAAATGTTGGTTTGAAGTGTACTTTTCTTTTATTATGACTGAATTTGATAATTAATAATCAATATAGAGCAGTGTTTTCCAACCTTTTTTGTGCTATGCCCCACCTAAGCCTTTCTAAAATTCTTGTGCCCTCCTAACATATACAGTGGCTATATGGTTAACTTAAACTCTGGACGAGTCCATTTTCGAATTGCCCCACATTGGGAAACATTGATATAGAGTATGAGATTCCATAAACCCACCAAAATCTGCTCATGACTTTTTCTTTTGACTTTGGCTGATCGCCCAATGCCATCAACATTCACAACAACTTTGTAAGCATTTTGACAGCAATCAGCATTAACAGTTGCTCCTTTCTCCAGGAACTTAATGAGGAGTGGTGCATATTGATCAAAAAACAATCTCATCATTACTTCTTTGGTAGCAGGGAGTTAGCATGTTTTCACTGATGGTTCTGCCTCTTTGTTTTGGGCTGTAATGATGCCACCATGTCACCCATCACAATGTGTGACATAAACTGGTCACCCTGTAGTTGATATCACTGCAGATGCTGCAGGACAATGGTCATGTGATGGCTCTTTTGACCATCATCAAGGTTATGGGGAATCCACTGAGTGCAGATCTTCTGGTACCACAGCATGTTGGTGATGTGATGGATGGTACCATGACTCAGACCACTAGTGCTGAGTCATGGTACAATGTTTCCCAATGTGGGGCAACCACAGTGAGACACTAGTTACCTCAAATCAATTCTTCTACACATGCAACAACAATGCTCATAGCTTTTTTGTGGTTGTCTAGTTGGTCATTATCACTGAAGAAAGTCTGGCTCTTTAGGAACCATTGTTGCCACGTGTACTTGTGTCAGGTCCATGCAATAATCACTCTACATTGCTTTCATCCACTTATGCATCTGCCTGGTTCCAACACCTTCCTCTGTTAAAAAATGCACTAGCTTCCTTTTTATAGGACAAAACTCATCAGGATCACAGTCACATTTTTACAATCATATATGTTCAGTTTTTAAGTAACTGTAATTTATACTTCCACTCAGAAAAATTGTTTCTCTATAATATTTAGAACAACATTAAAAAGATGTATAATTTGATATTAAAATTACAATTAAAAAGTTTTAGCTTAGATTTTTATTTTAAAATTTGTCTGTGTAATTTAACTTTAAAGTAAATTGGATAAAGAGTTTATAATATGCAACTAGTTGTTCAGCTAGTTGCTTTTAAACCTAACTTGTTAGTTTATCAATTTATCAAAATAAATTTTAATAAAATTACTTTAAAAAATTTTCAAATTAATAAAACTCTTAATGTAAGAGATGAGTTTAAAAGATGTATCAACAATGTTGTTATACTACATTTATAGTTATATGATAAATTTTAATACCAGAAAACATTGTATGCATTTCTGTTTCTTTTTCAGTTAGTTTTTCTTTTATTAAATCAGCCAATGTTCTTCTAGCTGCAGGTTCCTGAGACATAAATCTTTCTAAAGCTTTTTCATCCTCTTCATTAATTTCCTAATAAAATATTTATTACAAATTATTTTTTATGCAGGATAATAAACTTACATATTTAAGTTTATGGCTATACTGTATAATTCATAGAAGGAATTAATTTTGTTTGATACTGATCATTTCATATAAAATTTTTGAAAAAAATTAAAATTTGTGAATTATCAAGATAAAATAAAAATTAAATTAAATTAATTATCTGCTGTTTTCTACAAATTATAAAAAGCAAAAATTTCAAAGTTGCAATAATAATATCTAAATAAAAAACAATATTCTCTTCCATAAAAAATGAATAATTTTGTTTTTCATACAAATTTAGTCAAACAAATTATCTCAATTAGTTAACATATTATTTAATTGTTTTTTCATTTTCTGCTGTTTTTATTTTTTCTACCAGTAGAGAATATTGTCCTTTCCTCCAAAATTTTTCTTCCTTTCATTATTGTATATTATTAATAATTAAATTTCTATCATTATTATTATTATTTTGACAATTAAAACAAGTATATTTCTTTTAAATACAGTGGAACCTTGCTTAATGAGAATAATTTGTTCCAGAATCTTACTTGTAATGTGAAACACTCATTAAGCAAAACAATTTTTCCCATATAAATTAATGTAAAATATGATAATGCATTCCATGTCAAAAAATACTCAAATATTTTATGCATAATGTTTATTCAAAGAAAATTATACAATATACATTGTTAAGGAATGTGAGTCATCTTCATCTTTTTTCTAGCATGGAATGCAAATTCGATTTGAAGAAAACAAAAAAATATTGAAATTTAATTTGGAATTGGTCATTAAATTTAATAAGAGATGGCAGCATAACTGCCTACCTCTAATCAAATTAATTAATTTCTAATATTTAATTATAGCCTTTACATAACCCAAGAATTTGACATATCGTTTGGCATGTTTATTATACAGGGTGGTTATAATTAAAGTTGCCCTATTCAGACCTGTATAGAGTCCGTTCTCGTTGACATATTTTGATGAAACTTGGTATATATGTCATATGGACCATGGGGAAAAGGAAAATGCAAAAAAATAATTAGTTCAAATTTCTAACACTAGGTGAAAAAATGGCACATGAAGAACAAGAAACACAAAATGGAAACACACAAGTTTTCATTCATGACATTTGTTCAATATGCAATCCATTTGCATCAATCACAAGTTCAAAATGCCTTACAGTGTGTTCAACAGTAGCTCGATAGGTTTCTTGAGAAATTGCAGCAATATGGTATGTTATGCTTGCTTTCAATTCAGGCAGAGTCCATATGGTTGTGGAGATATCTGAAAGATCATGTCTATAGAGGAAGCATACGAACTCTGCCTGAATTGAAAGCAAGCATAACATGCCATATTGCTGCAATTTCTCAAGAAACTTATCAGGCTACTGTTGAACACGCTGTAAGGCACTTTGAACATGTGATTGATGCAAATGGATTGCACATTGAACAAATATAGTAAATAAAAACCTTTTGCATGTTTCCATTTTGTGTTTCTTGTTCTTCATGCGCCATTTTTCACCTAGTGTTAGAAATTTGAACTAATTATTTTTTTGCATTTTCCTTTTCCCCATGGTCCATATGACATATATACTAAGTTTCATCAAAATAGTCAATGAGAACAGACTCTATACAGGTCTGAATAGGGCAACATTAATTATAACTACTCTGTATAACAGGCTATGGTTGTTGATGTTTATATGTAATATGTCTGAACACAAGTTTGGAAAAATGTGTGATCACAAGTGACACTAAGATGCAAGCAGAACCAATGCTAAACATAAACTGATGTAGCATACACACAATCTGGGACTTCCCCTCTTCTCCTCACTTGTTATTTGAAACGTAGCTCATTAAGCAAGTCAGTTTTTTACAATTTGTTTTACTCCTTATGTAAATTCCTCGTTATGAGAGAAGCTTGTTAAGCACAGTTTCATTGTTTATGTAATATTTCATTTACATACATATGAACTTCCTTACAAGGCTCTATAAATTTGTCAGCAAATGATATTTGAACTATCTTATAACCTTATAAGGTAGTTCAAATATACGTAAACAAAAAAGTATTACTGAAAATAAACTTACCATATAAATATATAGCAAAAATAACATTTTCATTATATATTTACATATTACAATTATGATAAATTACTTACAATATCATCAAAGTAATTATCTTCACTTTCAGAAAACTGATCATCTTCACTTTCTTCATTTTGTGTTGCACCAAGAATAGTAGACTTTTCAGAAGGTTTGTTTTTGAGTTTACTAAACAATTAATAATTTTAATTATTATTATTTATTTTAAATATAATTTAAAATTATATTATAGTTATAATAATTGAGGGCTTCATGCAATAACAAGTCAAGTTCATTTTATTAAATTTTTTGGAGACAAGTAAACATTTTACACTTTGAATAGGTAAGCACTATACACAAAAACAATATCCAGCAAAAACTACAAAAATATACACAAAAGCAAACATGTTATGTTTAACCCATACTGAATGGTCACCATCAAGCTAAAAGCAGAGGTTATGTAGATTTTTGTAGTTTCTTACTGGATATTGGTTTTACATGTAGTGCTTATATACTTATACCCAAGAGGACAAGGGGAACCCAACAGTTTGTTACCAATTTGAACAAAATTTTATGGATATACAGATACAGATATTTATTGATCAATATGCCATATGGCATATCCCAATGCCACTAAGTATTACCGGGTATATACAGGAAATTACATAGTTTACACTGAAGATTTCGATAACTAATTATTAACGTAAATAAAATTAATTAACGCGTGTACAATTATATATATAGGGTTATACACGCGTGCAAAACATTAATAAGTATTAATAGATAAAAATAAATTTAAAACATAAAAGTTGCTGGAAATGTGACAGAGTCATAACATTATATAGTTACACGAGGAACATATGTTTTGTTATCTTACGCGGCAATTCTGTTTCAGCAGAGGTTTCCTCTTTTCCACTCCCTAATAAAGACGCAGTAGTATAGTCAGTCTAGATAAAAGTTTTTTTTTTTNCGAAGATCTCTAGAGCAGCTCTCGAATTACCCCCCAGAAGAACGATTGCATCATCTGCATAAGCAATTGTTACGTGGCCAAAGCTCTGTCTTAAAAAGTTGTCAAAGACAGTATTCCACAAGATAGGGCCACATACAGAGCCCTGAGGGCAACCCCTAACGACATTTCTACGCATAATGTGAGCACCATAACACAGCTCTGCAGTTCTATTGTTTAAGTAATGAATAAAAATTCTATATATGTTTCTGGGACATTGCCTATCTCGCAAGCTCTGCAAAATCGATGGCCACCATGCGCTGTCGAAAGCTTTTGCTATATCCAGGCTTATAGCAAGTACGAATCTATATTCCTCTAATAAGAGATTTATACTTTTGATAACTTTCTCAATTGCGTCTGGAGCAGATTTTTGTGGGCGAAAACCATATTGGTTGCTATGCAAATATTGATTTGTCTCCAAATGCCAAGATAATCTATTAGTCAATAAACGTTCAAGTACCTTTCCCAATACTGGCAATAGAGAAATAGGCCTACACTCGTCCAGATTTCCCGGTTTCGGCACAGGTACGATCCTTGCCCTTTTCCAGGAATTAGGAAATATTCCAATTCTTAGACATGTGTTGTAAATCTCAGATAGTTGATCAGGTATAATAACCCACAGTTGTTTCGCCAAGAGTGGCGTAATATCATCGTATCCAGCTGCTTTTTTGTTGTTCATTTTTGTAAACGCCCAAGCTATTTCTTCAGTGGTAAACTCAGGAGTGTCATTGGTATATATATTACTTTGTATATTTTCTCGTACGATACGATGTTGCTCATTCTCTTGAAATATATGATCTGGAAGACAGAAGGTGTCCATTTTCCTGTTGGCAACCTCCTCAAAAGTTTGTCCGATGTTGGTAGAGTGCAGAATTTGTGGATATGTAATTTTTACCTGTACTTAAACTTTACCAAAGCTGTAAGATTCACTATATTCAAGATAGATATAATTGATTATTTTTCCATGTTGCCATTTCATTTAAACAATTTATTCATTTAAAGTCTAAAAATATTACTTTAACTTATATTTTTGTCTAGCACTGTACAATCATTGCTACTTCATTCACAATCTTCATATTTTGTTTTAACAAAAAAGGGTGAAAAATAAACTTCATTAACATTTTTGAAAATGTTTCTTTCCCATGACTCAAACCATGCATATTTTAACATATCACAAAAAACTGGTACACTCAACTAGTTGTGAATTAGAAATTGTACTTTTTAAATTGTACGTTTTAACTTCTTAAAGTTTGGTTTTAAGAAGATAACTACAATTTTGTAATATTTTGATAAAATTTTTAACATGTCTATTAAAATAACATTACAAGTCTGACAAAAATGAGTAGGTTTCAGTGGACTAATTTTTAATTGGCAAAATGGAATATCTTCCTTATCTACAACAAGTAAAACAGCAAAGCCATTTTTGGGATGAGACTATATTTCGGAGAGTACAAGCAACACACGCACAAATCTCACAGTCGTGCCTGTTTGTAGAAACAGTCTCAGCATTTTGTATTTTCTTTTGACCCAGTTCTCAGTCCCCTGACTACCTACAAGTCTGGTTTATTTTATGTGCGCATGATTTGGCACCAAATACTCTGTGCCAAATTGCAACTCCTGACATGTACTCCTTCATACCTCTAAGGTGTGCAGCCGTTGACAGGAGCACAATTTTAGAGATGAGACATAGTCTCGTCAAAAATTTTTTGTATATCTGAAAATTTGTTTGCCCAATGGTCAAACAAATTCTATGATAAACAAATTAATAACAGCTATATTAATAAAAACTTTTCATTTTTTTTACATATGGCTGTAACATTTCAATTAAGAAGTCTATAAAAACCTACATTACATTAAATAATACAAAATGTGATTATGATGTTGGTATATGTACATTCTAAAAATGGAGTGAACAAAGTAAAAAATATATTTTGAATGACCTTAAAAATTGTACACAAGACTTTGTAAAATGATAAGATTGAATTATAAATGTAAAAAGAAAAAAAAAAACTTTGCATACAGGGATTGAACCCAAAATCAAAGCCTCCACATGTGATGCATTAACTAACCATGCCACACCACTACTTTGTGAATAGGTCTTCCAAGTTGATATTAATGGTTGTGAAAACTTTTATCCTAATTTTCTTGAGAATACTTGAATAATGAATCTTATGGCTTTGGCAGAGTTTAATTAGAAGCAAATACTACACACCCACAAAATTTCATCAAAATTAGTGATGACAAACATCATAAAGTCAGAAACTATTGTGAGACAAGCAAAGGGCCAGAGGGACTATCCCTAATGACCACTTACACTGCACAGGTTGGTGAAACCCAGACTTGGATTGTCAGATGGCTAGGAGGGCAAAAAGTGAGTGGGGAGTGTGGTGTAAGCCAGCAGGCGTCCTTTCAATGACAAGAGACAGTTTAACAACTAAACAAAGCATTTATTGAGGAACTAAATCTATGTTACAGAAGGCAATAATTAATTTTAGGTTAAATGCGGTTATAATAGACTATGTTCAGTATGTTCATAGATGAGAATAGTCGCCCACATAATGGGCGACTATTCTCATCTATGTCGCTGACCACTAGCAAGAGAGAGTGATTCTAAAGTCACTACAAGTTCTACAAGTTCTAAAATATCTAAATACCTCTCAGAATAATGGAGAGTTGGCAAACGTCGTCTGTATGGAAGAGGTGGAGGCTTCGGTGTCTTCTCTGATGGGATCACAGTCCTTTGCATGGAGATCAATGAGCACAAGTACCAAAAATAACTTCCGTGTGCAGATGCACCCTGAGTTCCGGGAGCACAAGTTTTTATTCCTTTTTCGTGGGAAAGGAGTCATATGATTGCCATATGTTGACATTAACGGTGCATTCTTGACACCTATGTGTCAACTTTTCCAGCTAATTGTGATAACAAACGGTGACCTCCACTATAATTCTCATCAGAAGTGTTTTTTCGATTGGAGTTGTTTACAATTCTTTTTTTTCCGACAACTGCATTAAATTTGCAGATTTCACACCATTAAATGAATTCAACAAATCACCAGGTTCCCTTTGTGAGTTGTTAAATTCATCTAATAGATTCTGACTTTATGATGTTTCAAAGATATGTAAGTAAGAAAATATTTGGATGTGTTTTTAAACTTTTTTAGTTTTTATTTAACAAAATATTTAAAACTGTACTTGTCCCATTGTTGCAGCAAAAGACAAAATTTACATTATATAATGCATTTTAAACTAGCTAAAAAGTGTGTTTTATTCACTGTCATTTCATATTTACAATATTCAGTTTTATAAAATTAAACATTATGAGATGTTGCTGCACATATTAGAGCTATAAATACTCTTCTGCTACACATGACTAAAGAAAAATTGAGCAGTTAACTTTAACCTAGCAATAGTAGTGAATTTTCAACGTATTATGATGCATTATGGTCAAAAGATACAACTATGTTTAAAAAAAAATGTAAAAAAGCAAATTTTAAAAGTTTTGTCACTTGACCAATTGTTGTACCAAGTCCTTCAATTATGAAATTATGATTTACTATTGTTTTAATTAACCATTAAAAGTTGACTAAGAAAATAAATTTTAACCCTTCAGCACGCGCGTGCTCCGTCAAATAGAAATTACGCGCGCTTGGCCAATTAAGCACCAATTTAAAAAATTAATTAATAAAAATTTAGCATTGAAAAACGGGTATTTTTACTTTAATCCAGTTCTATGATAAGTTTGGGGTCGAATTTAGTCACAAAATTTTAATTTTGTTATAATTTTGTTGATGATTTTATTTTTTTAATATTAGAAGGTAATTAGCATAAATTACAAAGTGTCGTGTTTCATCTTCGCTCCCGTTCAAGTTTATTGTCCCAGACTTGCGCCAATGTTTGTTTTTACTTCTGCTGGTGTTTCCGCTTTTATTTCACCCTCGTCCGTTTTGGTTACAGACGATGGTGAGACGGGCGTCACGTGATTGCTTACCTCACTTTTTACCACAGAAATTACCGTACCTTGAAAGTTTTATTTTTTTTTCTCGATTTTAGTTATTATTAGCTAACTTTTTTTGATAGATTCTGATATACATGTATTTTCTGAACTTGCAGATATTTTTTTTATTAAGTTTCACAAATTTATGTTTTTTTATTCGCATTTTATATACAAAATACAAGGAAATTG